TGAGATTACAAAGGTTATGAAAGTGTTTATTGTTATCTACTACCAGAAAATACCATGGACAGCAGATCTATCCAGTTAATACCTTACGCCCCTATGTCCCGCCGATACATATAGCGATGATTTTATTTTCCTGTCCTATAGATATTAAATTTTTTACTTACTAGAACAAAATTGAGATTGGTGGTCATAGCGATACAGTAATAATTATGCAGTGGCATAAAAGCAGCTCTAGTGTAGGGACCGTTCTATTTGAGGTTTCAAATAATGCGTTTCTTGATTTTTTCATGTCGCTAATCATAGTATCAGAAAAATGGTGACCTTAAATGTCGTCGGCTCGAGAAGACGTTGACGAAGGTTTTGGAAGTTTCCATAATTAATGTTAATCTCATTGATTGAGCGTTTCTTTAGAATGATCTTTGTTGTTGTTGTTCCTGAATATTCAAAGCAGCATCCAAATTCAGTTGCCTTGGGACCAAAAAGAAATTGCGAGGCCTGATCATCTATCCATTCTATCCGCCTCAAGCTAAACCTACGCAGACAACTAATTGCTATGCTCTCACAAGACGACATAGCCACCATCATGCTTACTGCAGTGTTTCTTGATCAGATCTCTTTGAACCAGTTTCGGTTGCTAACCTTTGAATTAATATTTTCGTTTTTCTGGGTTAGCGTTAAGTCAAAACGCGCTCTACTAATGCACAGTAGTAAATGCAAGTCCTCTTCTTTTATTGAAATGTCGTTCTCATAACTAATGATTTCGTATATCAGCTATGCAAAACATCAAGCTTAGTATTTTACATTTAAATTTAGGAACTTAATTTTGCTGCCTACAGCAGCGATATTCCGTCAATGGAATATTTTGTTACCAGTTTTCAGTCTGTTGTTTGAGTGACAGAAATGATGTTAAAATTGGGAACAGGACGTTTGGCTATGGAACAGCCATAACGTCATTAAGTAAACAAAAATATCCCGTTGGCCTAAATATTTGCTGTTTACCTGGTGGTGCTATGAGTTACATCGTAACGAAGCAAGTTGCATATTTAATTTCAGGAAATTTTTTTCTCTCATACCGTAGATCGAGGAGAATCAGTTCAAAAAATCGAGAAATGTTGTAGAAAAGAATAGAATAGGGAATCTGGATACCTGGAGTCTGACAAATATCCATAATGTTATGGCAGTTCTGCTTCAGGGAAGAAAGCCTTAGAGAGCGCTGTATGATCTCCCCATGAAATTGTCTATCGTCTGAATCGTATCTCTCGTTTGTAACGAGAACTCTAGCTATTACCCAGTTCTTCTTAGTTAGTTCGCCCTTCATATATTTCTGCACTATGTTTTGCATGGGAGTTTGGCTTTAGGGTACGATCGGCAGATTTTGATCAAACACGAGCAAGTTGCCCTGAGTGAATGTTTCTGAAAGGTTTGTTTTAAGAACGCTGAAAATGCCAGAATTTTCACGAAACGTATGTATTTCTGTATCAGAGCCTCAGTTCCGGCACGTGAAAAGAAACTGACGGTTGTGACGAAGAAAATCCACTCTGCAGCTTTTAGTGGATTCACGCCATCCAATTATTTGTCATTATTTAACCTCTTAAAGGATAACGTTGAGTCCAGCTTTGAAAAGTGCCTACAACTTCTCGAACCCTTTGATATGTTCAGCGCGCAGATATGAAATGCTTATAAAAACTAACACTGATGTTTTTACCCTTCAGGAGTGTTTTTTTATAAATTATATCGTTGCTTAATAGTGTCCCGAAACTTTAGGCTTGCCATGACGGTGATCGCCCATCTCTGTTCAACTTTTATTCAGATTCCGAGCATGGGGGCAATCAAATTCATGGTGGCGAACTATTTTGCTGGGGCGATTGGCGTTTTTGTCACCTTCCTTTTCATGAACCTGTCCTTGCAATTTCCGGTAAGTACCGATTGATCAAATTGTCATAGATGCTGTTTGGCGTTTTCGACTGTGAATTCGATTTTAAATTATTTCGTTTGGAATTGCTGCTACGCTGGTGCCATGCCATCGCTGTGGTAGCAAAATGCCGTGGCAGTTAAACTATGTACGATGATTACCGGCTTTTCTAGTTCCCTTGACTGCGGATCGGGCAAACTAGTCATATTATAACGGTTTTCCCACGTTATTGCACTATAACAGCTGCAATTAACATTTGCATTCCAGTGTAGTTACCTTATATTCTTAAATAAATAAAAATAAAGCAAAACAGAATTTCTTTCTGATCTAAAGGCCACTAAATGCAATGTTATAGCCTTCAAAATTTTGATTATGCACTGAGGATTGAGGCAATCCTGAAAGGCGGACCTGTGGGTTTCTGTTATCACAGCGTTGCAGAAAAGTTACATTCGAGTCTCATCTCGTCTATCTGTTAGGTAACGTAAATTTGCGACCACTGATGTTCAGGTAGATCTTAGATAAGCGGATTGTGCTAGTAGTCATGCCTGTGTTTCAGCACTGTGCAATAAAATCAAAGAGCAGGTTCGGAAAAATTACGGATCGCCCTGTCATTCTGGCAAGGTCAGTAAAAGGCATAATCATTTTGCTGATGATGGTTAGATGGAAGTCTATTAATATGCTTAATAAAATATGGCGTGAAGGTTGATGAAAGGCAGAGAATAAAAAAGACATTGTGTTGAGTATTAATAGATGGCAAAAATTCATGCAAAGTTTTAAAGTACCTTATTTAAGTTTAGCAGTTTTCAAGCCCAGTATTACATTGTCATCTCCTTAAAGTAGCCTCAATTTTTCTCTGGTCAATATATTGGCATTATTATGTTAAGGTTGTGTCAAAACTTGTCCCCTCATCAGAACAACCCATTAAACCTAGGATCAAAAATACATATATAACTGAGACAACGACTTCCAACATTTCAGCAGTTCCAATTGTCATGTAATTTTACGTTGCAGCAGTAATCATAAGCCATCAAACCAAGTCACACGTTAAATATCTGCCATGTTGATTAATGGTGCGAGTCCAACTGAAATAATTCAATTAACAGCCGATTTTTGTTCCCTCCAATGGCCAACTACATTATCCAGGTACATATATACAATAAAAATATTATATCACCGCGTCAAGGCTTTTCATTTCCCGTGATTGGCGATGTACATTATGGTCCAGACGTCGTCATTAATCATTGACCCTGTGTATCTGCTCGCTAATAAAATTTTTTCTGCTTTAATTTTTCACACAACTGTCTGATAGACTGCTGGCTATGCCACAGTCTATGCATTTACATCTCTAGAGTTTTGCCGATATATATTAGATACTTCTAGGAATTTCATTGACGCACTAAATGTAGTGCCTAAGATTAAGTGCAGTGTCTGTGATCGACTATCCATGAACACTGAAACGCACTTGGCAGCTGCATACCATGGGCAGATTAAACACCAGTATTGCACAATATACAACATCTGAAATTTATTCGTTTAGCGGTACCTGTGTTATGGCAGTAATAACAATCGGTTGACGGTTTAGCTTATTAATTGAAGATCTGCTATATATTGTGGTGCATGATGAATATGCAAGTGCATTCAATACCGTTTAGTGGATGCCAAAAGTGGGGGCTAACCATGAATCTGATATCTGCTAATCAACGAGAACAGCGAATACGTTGTCAGGGGGGATCAACGAGTAGTAACAATAGCTGAAACATCTGTCATTTAGACTCCTCGAACCACCAGAAGTGAAAGGCAGATAAAGTGCAATATAGCCCTGATGTTCTGGGATGGCTACTAGGAATGGTAGTGCTGATTGTATAATTCATTAGACATTTTTCTGCAAATCTTTAAGGGATATTTGTTCCCTGGTTATGTCGCTAGTTACAGCATGAGAACCATATCGTTGGGGACAAGTGGAAGTATCCTTGTTTGTTCTGATTTATTTTAATTAAGCTGGAAACCCCATTCAACCAGTTGTTTTTCCATCTAATTCCTCTTCAGAAATCGATAATAGATTTAAAAGTTATTTACGGGTTACATGTTGATGTACCACCATTCTCTTTGCTATTGGGGCATGAGAGCCCATTAATCTTCGATTGTATTTAGTACCTGTGTTATAGCTGTGTTATCTTATCCGTTTTATTCACGATGATTTACTCATTGTCAGAAATGCATCAAGAGTCACCCATTTTTCCATGATTCATACTGTATTTAGATCATGTGATACTTTCATAATTAACTCTCACTTTTGCTCTGAGGTTTGAACTGCTGCATAATGCGGAGCGAGGCCTTTCATCAACTTGTAATTTTTGTTTTCGCAGAGGACATTTGTTCGTAATGATTTGATGAGCAAGTGATCTAATTCTATGAATCAAGAAAAATGGGAATGAACTGCTTATTGCATTATTCGACTGGCCGTTTCACTCAAAATATGGAACGTTCGTAGATGGCTCTTCTGCATGAAATATACTTCAGTAGGGAAACCGACACGTTTTAAAAATATTACTCATATTGTTTTTGCGGGTGCATGGTTCTTAATCACGATAGGTTTAAGCGGTTGACTGCACAGAGATATGTTGCTTACAATTTGCCTGATCTTTAGATCTTAGTGGTTCTTTCCTCAAGGGGCATGGTTCACAAACAATTTACTCTTTCATAAGCAGCTTATGAATTGCATTGGTCGAAGATAGTTTCGGTACGTTCTCAAAGGTTATACACATTGTATATGATATATCTCTGGAAGTAAACTGCGACGAAGAATGCTGTGTAGGCAAGTTCGCTTCGCACTATACAGTGTCACGGACGTTCTGTTGAATACTGTCTTAAATCTGCAGATGGCCAATAAGATTTTAGGGGCCGATCTTTCTTCACTGCATGTAACCAGTTGGTGAACGAAATTTTGGATGTGGCTAAAGCGAATGGATCCTGCGCGGGAAACAGGTGACACGTCCTCACTCTACGTTTTCAACTACATCTAATTTAAGGACAAGGTTCTGGTGAGTTATGAAGCAGTCACACTTATTAACAACGATAAAGGTGCCATCTCTCCGTTAATTAAATCATTTTTTGTGAATGCTTGGCATTTATGTTTAATTACTAGTCTTTCAATCGTTATGCCGCGAGAAAAGAACATAACCAAAAAACAGGGAAAAGACAAAATACAAAATTGGTTTAAACTATACTCATTTAGTATTTCAAATGACATCAAGTTTAAATCCAAAAGTTCCACTAAAATTTATTTCGTTTTCAGTACTATGATCGAGTTGGAGAAATTTGTAAATCGGTGTTTTCGTTGCTGCCAACCTACTGCTTCGCAGATGTATTGTTCGAGATGTACGTCGAGTACGAAACTTATAGCGTAACGAAACAGGCTTTTGGTAAATGTCCTTCATTCACAATATTCGAAATTTCCACCTGACTCTTTTAGGTGAACACGGAGCCATAGTTCCGCACCCCTTGACCTGGTCTGTATCCTTTGACAAGCTACTGCTCATGTTCTACGAGTCAACGTTATTGCTGTTTATTTTGTACGCTATTCAGTATAATTTCA